GCCTTCTATACAGTTCTCTGACTGTCGGAGGCAGAGAGGTCGCACAAGGGACGTCGTCGAGCCAAGTTCTATCGCAGAAGAGCTACGTCCGATCCCAGAGGACGCAGTCACACCGGGCGAGGCATCAACCTGCTGCCAACATTGATGGAGGTAGAAGACGACGCGACCGCCAACCCGCTGCCGATACCGGGCATCAGGAAGAAGAAGAAGGTGAAAATTTTTAACTTAACACAAAAATAATTTTATTTATTTTATTTATTTATTGTGATTTTTAAAAAAATAATTTACTCAGGTGAAGAAGAACAAGAAGAAGAAGAACCTGTCACGCCCACAACATCGTCTTCTTCACGACGACCATAACGTCGGATCAGCCACCGACAGCGCAATCCTACGAATCGATACACTCCTAATTAGTTTGTGTTGTATTCAGGGAATTTTGTGAACATATTTATTTTTTTTTTATTCTGTATACTGAAGTTTGTGTTTTGAATAAATTATTGTGGTTGACCTTTTGTATATATTGTATGTTGGATTATTTTGAGAGAATTGATTCATATTAGTTGGTTGAACATGTTGTGATTTGTTGAATAGAATGAGAAATGGATCCAAAAAAAAAAATTTGCATTTTTCTGCAGAGAAAAACGTATTCTAGGAATACATTTTATGTAGAATTAGGGCAAAACTAGGGCAAAATCATTTTTTGGGAAAAATTGATTTTACAAAAAAAAACGTATTTTCATAATACGTTTTATATTTCCAAAATTATTTTCTCCATAATTTTTTTTAATAATTTTAAAATTTATTTTATTTAAAAAACATATTTCAAGAATACGTTTTAAAATTAAAAAAATCGTGAAATTAATTTTAATTAGAATACGTATTTTGGGTATACGTTTTTACTTAATTTAATTAACTTAAATTACATTAATTATGTTAAATAATTAATATTTAAGAAACCGTATTCGTGGAATACGTTCTACAATGAAAAACGTATTCCTCGAATTCGTTTTTTTAAGAAAAAACGTATTCTTTGAATACGGTCTTTTGATTTTTTTCCACTCTTTTTTTATTTCATTTTTGTCCATAGTTTTTTTTTAAAAAAAATAAATAAATAATTCAGGATTTGCAAGTTTCAACTTGCAAAACTTTCTCAATCTTTTACAGATATGCACACGAGTAGTTACATGCAGAAAAAGACAAATTTATGTTCAATAAGTTCAATTTTATATATCACATTCATTATTTAATTTTATTTGCTCACCCTGAGTGTGTGAGATTCAATTCCAGATTATCCATTTAATTTAAATCCGTTATGGATTTGATCAGTATTTATTATCCAATGGAACAGAAAACCGGAATCTTGACAACTCAAATTCATTAACCATTGCCAGAAACTAAACATGACTAGTTTTTGTCCCGTGCATTTGCACGGAAAACTATATGATACATGAAAAAATAATAAAAATTATAAATAATAGTAAAAATCATAACAAATTCATTGAAAAAAATTAAGAAAAAAAATATAAATATTCTTAAACACTTCTTTATAAAACAACGTCGTGGTTTTTTTATTGTCAAAATCTCCCTCAGCTCAAATCAAAATCTTCAAACCCCACTGACTCGTAACTCTAAAAGCGCCACGTATAATTACTCATGACTAAATGCAGAGCTCTTCAGTAGTAAGCCGACGTGCGACAGAGACTGTCTTTGACTCTTATTGATCATGTCATAGCATAGGAAAAACTTCTTTATATTGTTTGTCCATGACTCTTATTGATTGATAGAGATTGTCCTTGTTTCTTAATAAAAAAAATACCATCTAAATATAAATGAGTAAATATAATATTAATTTTTTATTTATATAAAAAATTTAAAGTAATTGATAATGAGTATAGAATTACCCTTGCGGATTCAAGTTATTTCAACGATGTTCTTTTTATATATCTAAGATTTAATTTTTTTTCTGATTTATATGAATATAAGCACATTTGACTAATTTTTATAAAATTTATTGAAAAAAGTTACTATTTTTTTGAAAAACTGATAAGATATTAAGATATTATACTTAACATAAATGTGAGATTAATTAAAATAAATCTTTTTAATTTAGTTATTAACTAATTAAATTTAACAATAAAAACCTTCTTAAATGTGAGATTAATGAGTAATTAATTAAAAAAACATGTAACTTCTTTTGGAGGGAAAGTGAAAATATTTTTATTAAATGTTTTATTAAATGGGATTAGCTAGCAATTATATATATATAGATTTTAACTTTATGAAAATACATTGTATAACTTTATGAAAGAATCTTTCTAAAAATATAAAGTTCAAAAACAATTTAACAGGCCGATCTCTGATATAGAAGAGCTTCCAAGTTGAGATTTTCTATTGGCTTTTGCACTCATTTATTGAATCATATAATGAAAACAAAAATACCGTTCAATATATCGAATCAAAAGTTCTGATTTGATATATGCCAGAAAACGACGATGGAATGAAACTAAAACAAAAACTAAAAGTTACTTAACAAATTTGANAATTACTTTTCAATCTTCAAACAATTTGATATCTATAGTTACATACTTACATTACACAATTTGAGAAAAACTAATAAAATATATGGAAAACAATATCAAAAGGAGATGCTTTTGATAATTCACATTAGAGTAATATATTGTTTGTACAAACTTATGTCATATATGGTTGAAATTATTTATAAACACACATATAAGTTCATTAATTCGATTCTACCAGTCAACACATTTTCTACCGTTGGTCAACACACATACATATACACACAGTTGGTCCAATGGTAAATTATCTGATAATTACACTGCAGTCACGAGTAAATCATAATACCACTTTTGGCCCCACTCAACTACTGTACTGACTCTGAATATTGAGCAGTGAAACTCTAAATTTAATCAAACGCTTAAACAAACTCTCAAATCTTTCCTCAATAACATGAACAATCGAACCCATCTCTCTCAACTTCATCTGCAACCCCTCGATTTCCCAACTTTCGCATTTCGACACCCGATAACCAACAACTTTACGCAACGCATCATCGAAATCTCTAAATTCAAGATTCGTACTTTTGCAATATTGCCCCTCGGATTTTTTCCTCGATTTTACGAGCTTCGAAACAAGCGACCAATTGCTCGATCTCAAATAATGCCTCTTTACACCGGCCACGCTCGAAAACAAAGTTTCGAACAATTCAAGCGTTATAAGCTCGGTTTTTTCTAGCATGCTAATGATGGCAATGGTTTCTTGAAGATCTTTGCCCTGTGCTGAAACAGAGGACTTATTCTTGAAAGTGCCGATTTTTTTTAACGAAATTCGTATCTTCTTCTTGATTGAGTTTCTTGAGGAGATCACGAAATCGAAAAGATTATTTCCCGAGTCTCGTTTTCGCCTAAGGACAAAAGCGAGGTTCGAAATGCATTCTTTTGAAAGTGAGAGTAAATCTTTCGTCGTGGCACAAATGTCGACGAGGTTGAGATAACCGTCCAAGATGTTGTCGGCTTGTTTTTCGAGAGATTTATCGACTCGGGCGAAAACTAGGCGCGTTTGGGGCAAAAGGAGTAAATCGTCCACGCAATCGTATAATTTTTCGAGGTTTTGTAATTGTGTGGCGATCGACGGTAGAGAAGTCAAGGAGATTGAATCGAGATCGGATTTTAACGTGTTGAAATGCTCGTTGAATTGAGGGATTAGAGGGTGTGATTTGGAGGGCAAGCTAGATGAACGGGCGCGGCTAAGGATTTTGGACCTCAAAGGAGTTGAAATAATCATGTTTGGTTTGTGGGAAAAGAATTTGAGGTTTTGTGGGTTTTGGGATAATTGTTTCGAATTTTTTTTGGTGGGTTTTTGTGTGTATATATATATGAATGGGGAGATATGGAATCTTTTATTAGTGAAATTTTTTTATTGCTTTGATTTGGACGTGAGATACTGTCGGGCAAGTACATCTCACGTTTGTTAATTTCCTACTTTGTTTGCAACATGAATTTATAATATTGTATTGTATGTCATGTACACAGCACAATTGAAAATTTTAGCATCAAATTTAGACATTTTTTTTTTTTTTACATGTGTAGTTCAGAGGAGCTGATAATTTAAATGCAAACAGAGGAGCTTGTAAGTTTAACTTCCTCATTTGTTTGTGTTTAATCACTCACACATTATGAGATTAAAGTTTTATGTATAGAAAAAAACTTTAATCTAATGTGTGAGTGATTAAACACACAATTGGATCTGTTCTCTCGGTAGCAGGACCTGTACAAAAACGTCGGGAATTGTCTCAATGTAAAAGTTCCGACGCTCAAGTCAGAGAACAGTTATCAAAAAGACGATAAACAATATGAATTGTATATAATTGTATTATATATTAGAGTGTTTCAAGTGTAAAAATGATCATATATCTTTATATAGGGTTGTTACCTTCTTGCCCAATATTCCCCGGTTGGGTTGCCCGAGCTACCCGTTCATATAGTTCGAGTGTCCAAACTGTTCAATTCTGTTATGTCATGTGATCATATTCGCGTGTCCTTATCTGAGTTATATTCTTTTTTAGCTATTATGTAGTGTGTTCAATTAAACTATCTCATTAGGTGATTTAATTATGCTACCAACCCAAATCTGTTTGAACCAAGTTACTCCGACCTTCAGTGGATAACCGTACCTCTTAGGTTGTACTTGCAGACTTCGCGGTCGAGTTTTCATCAGGCTAACCGAAAGTCCTAACTCAACCTATTGGCGAATTCTATTACATGTGAGGTTACCATCGACTTGGTGATTCATCGACTTTCGGATTGCTCTTTAGGTCGTACACCTTTTTATCGGTTAACTGTGGTATGATATCTCAAATCAAATCCGATTAACTGTGGTTCACTTTTTTCTGCATATTTTCGTTAAAAAATATTATACTTTAAAAAACATCATAAACTAAAGTATAACAAAATATGACATTAGATTATATACATTTTTTTATTCATGAAGATGGCCCGGCCCCGCCGGACCCGAAAACAGGATAGGGAAAAACGATCATCACAATTCACAAACCGCAAAAACCGGCATTTTTGAATCATCATATTCACGAGGACGATGAGCAAGCTCAAAGTATCCAGCTCCGAATTGGATTTCGATCGACCCAACATTGAGGATTACCTTCCTTCCGGATCCATTCAAGAGCCTCACGGCAAGCTCCGCCTGTAAATTTTGGGCCCTCCATCCTCTCTCTGTTCAAATGTACCTTTCGTTTTCATTTGCGTTTTAGTAAATCTCAACTTTTTGTGTGTATATATAGGCGTGATTTGCTCGATATTTCTCCGACTCTAACAGAGGCGGCTGGTGCCGTTGTTGATGTAAGCTCCTCGTTGATCTTCTTTTATGTTCTGTGTTTGAAGGTTAATTTGTGGGTGAAAGATTGAACGCTAGTAATCGAAAATGGTACTTCAGTACATTAGGAAAGACAATTTATCAGTTCTGATCATGGGTTTTCTCTATTTCTTGGAAAGTTGCTCTGAAACTATTAGTCTAGCTGATCTATGGCTTGAGTGGAAATAGTGAACTTCTAAATTTGAAGCATTGCACAAGTTTGGTGGAGATAATTTGTCCTTGAAGAATGGAATTGATGCGGTTTATTGTTAATTTGTGGTATTTTTATGCATCATCTCACTGTTCTTCCTGTCAGTGGCTGGGTCATGCTCAGTATTCTTGCGCTTCAGAAGCATAACCGAGTTTTGTTCTTGATGCATGACAGGACTCTTTCACAAGATGCTTCAAGTCTAATCCTCCAGAGCCATGGAACTGGAACATATACTTGTTCCCTTTGTGGTGCCTGGGAGTTTTGTCAGATATGGGTTACTTTTCCCACTGAGGTTAGTTTTTTTTTTTTTTTTTTGGCATATTGTCGGTGTTATTCGGAGAGGGTAAGCTGAATCGAGCAGACCATTGTTGATTGTTCCACCCGTAATTTAACTCTTCCCATGCTTTTCACGCATGTTATTCACCTCGAATGCAGGGTTGCGGTGCTAACAATAGGATGGATTATATTTCTCTCGTGTTATTTTCCTGTGCATTTCCTGTTGAAAGGGCATGACAGATTGAGGAAAAAATTAGAGGTATATTCAGTCAAATTTCTATGTGACTTAGTGAGAGATCATTTTATTAATTGTAGGTACAGTTACTAGTAAGTTCTTTTTTCTAATTGTCATACCTTGTAAACCAACGATTGACCATCCATAACCATCTTTTGCCCGTTTTCCTTTTCAGAGAGGTCTAGTGGAGTTGATTTGCAGCTTTTTTGTTGCATCGTGGACTGGGGTTGTCAAATACCACGGTCCACGTCCAAGCATTCGTCCGAAGCAGGTGAGACTGTGTAGTGCATGACATCATTTTAATTTTCAGTATCTTAGTTGAATCATATATTTAAAAAGTCATATTTTTTTTCTTTTAAATCCTAATGCCCTCTGCAGGTTTTTGTGGCTAATCACACGTCCATGATTGATTTCATTGTTTTAGAACAAATGACGGCATTTGCAGTGATAATGCAGAAGCATCCTGGGTGGGTTGGTAAGTTTTTTTAAGTAGAGTGGGCCTGTTAAAGTATACTATTTTTTCAGTATATTGTTTGTTAGTTTTTAAGCACAAGAAGTGTCGGGTTATGTTTCTCTATGGACTTATTCTGTTGGTTATTAAAGTATTTCTAGGCATCTTTATCTGTTGAGTTGGATTATATATCATTGGGCTTGAACTGAAGCAATGGAATGTTTGATTTGATTGTTAATCTAATGAATTATGTTTGCTTTTCACATTATGCTTAGTACATTATCAACATAGGAGATGTTGTAATGGTCTTGCCCGGTAAATGGCTTCAGTATGATTGCTAAAGTCTTATTCATTTGTTTGAGTTGGGATGTTATCAGGTGAATTTTTTCTCTTGCACTTGATTTTGCTGATGTTATCATGCTATATATCTGCTCAGGTCTATTGCAGAGCACTATTTTGGAAAGTCTAGGATGTATTTGGTTCAATCGATCAGAGGCCAAGGATCGTGAAATTGTTGCCCGAAAGTATGACTAATTTAGAATCAGAGTCCAAAGCTCAATAAGTTATTTCAGATCGAACCATTTTCTTTATTTTGGTATAATTATTTTTTTTTTATTGGTATTTTGGTTTTTTTATTTGTTTGTTTTGCAGGCTAAGGGAACATGTCCATGGGGCTGATAATAATCCTCTCCTTATATTTCCTGAAGGAACTTGTGTGAATAACCACTACACTGTGATGTTTAAGAAGGTGCCTCTCGTTCACTTGCGATTGCNAGTTGATATTGTTCCTTTTTTTTTCCTTACTGTTGTGCCCCAAAGTTTGTAATTGATGAGGTACCGCCTAGTTTTCTTATATTTTCTATTTTCTTATGTTTTTTAGGGTGCATTTGAACTTGGCTGCACAGTCTGTCCAGTTGCAATCAAGTATAACAAGATCTTTGTCGATGCATTTTGGAACAGCCGAAAGTAAGTCATGTCATATTGCTGTTTATTAGGCCAATTAATTTGTTCAGTTTGTACTACTAATTATAACTATTTCGCCACTCTGATGTGTGCTCTGAATTGGTTTCATGTGGCCCGATAGCTCATTGTGGTAGATTTTGTTGATACTTGCTGCTCTTTTACTGCCCGGGTGCCGATAAATATTGTGTTCACCATTTAAGTGCATGCTTGGATACAAAATTTTCCGAAAAAAAATCTAATCATTTTTAACCAATCACTTTTTTTAACTCAAATCTAACTCAACTTTAAATCAACCCGACTATTCTCAATATTATCAATATTATTAAATAATACCACTCAATCATTCTTTACACATTACATCAACTTTAATACACTATTCATTCACTCACGTAGTTTTAACTAACCATCAGTTCACATCATCTCTCTCCTACTTTTACATCAAATCAACTTTAATTATTTTATTTTAAATATTATTTTAATATAAACTCAAAAATTCCACTAAACCTTGTTTTTGCAGGCAGTCCTTTACAACACACTTGTTGCAGCTTATGACATCATGGGCTGTTGTTTGTGATGTGTGGTACCTGGAGCCTCAGAACCTTAAACCTGGTGAAACACCGATTGAATTTGCTGAGAGGTGCTTATCAATTCCTCAATTCATTACTTCTTATAATTTTGTAACAAAATGTACCCTAAACTAAAACAATAAAAAACTCTGTACAAAAAACGCGCCGTTTTATTACAGGGTGAGGGACATTATTTCCATGCGAGCAGGTCTTAGGAAGGTACCATGGGATGGATATTTGAAGTACTCTCGTCCCAGTCCAAAGCATCGTGAACGCAAGTAAGCTTTTTTCAACAAGAAATGATAGATTCTCAATATATTGTAGTGCTTGAGTCCATGGATTCACTATATATTTTATGAGCTGGCATTGCCTTCTTGTTAATAATATCACTAGCATGCATGTTCGGTAGAATCGTCAGATAGCTATATTTTTGGAAAAGATAGTTCCCCTTAAATTTCGTAATTTTTTGTGAATAAGCCGTTTTGTGGCTAGATATAGGTATAACTGAATGCAAAAACTCAAATTTCTATCTGACTTTCCACTTCGCATTCGCAGGCAACAAAGCTTTGCAGAATCAGTCCTCCACCACCTGGAAGAGATATAGATTCGATTATACCGTTTGTTGTTTATTGTCTTTTGTGGTTAGATAGAGAGGTCGTTTAGCTGTTTTAGGGCTAGCATGTCAAATGGTCTATGAAGTCTCAAGATTGATGATTTTGTTCATGGATTTTCCTTTTTACCTTTAATTTTTGAGTTTCTTTTCTGTATCTTGTATTTGTCGTTTATAACTTTTTATTAGTTGAACATGATTTATTGAATATTAGTGATCTTAAATTTTGACCAACAAAAAGTGCCCATGGGAACAGAACACATTTCACTTCAGAATTCGATGTTAAAAAGAGTTGCCAATTGCCATACGGTCTTATGTTGCTTGTACTTTACTTTTGAAACCTTATTTGATATAGTGATCTGCGAATGGAAAATGGCCCCACTTCCTAGGGAGATACGATGAGTTTCCGTCCAAAGAATCAGGCTGCGGTAGAGAGAAAGCTCGAGTCCAAACTGGAAAATGAAGCTGATGGAATCCAGTGTGGTGCAATTCGTTAGCAAAGTCAGTTCAATTTTTGTGTTGTTTTGTGTTGGATTATCTCTTTTCACAAGTCAAGTTTTTTGTTGAATTCTATTATTTTAAATGTAGTTAATTGTTGGTTCAATTTGGTGTTTGTATTTCTTGTTTTGCAATTACAAATTTCACAATGTCAATTTCCAGTTGTTTCACTTCAGTGTAATTTTATACGGAACCACACCATTACTTCTAATCAAGGGAGCGCCAAAACAAAGAGGGGTGAAANAAAAAAAAAAAAAAATCAGCATTAATATATTACAGGTTACACTTACAACCATAAATCTTCTTTGCAGATCATTTGCCATAAACATAATAAAGTTTCCATGGTTCTTATTGTTCTGTCATGAACAAGGGACTCAAAAATCATTATTTTTTACTCTGAATATAGTGCTCAGGAAAAGGCAGCACAAAAATAGTGTAGGGAAGCAAACTAGAAAAAGACTAAAAAATATCATCACAAGCCACTAAATGAAAATAGCCCAGCAGGTAAGTTGATTGCACAAAATTTCAGTCAAGATTTGAAATAACAGCATCAACAACTTCTTGTGTGGTACTATCTCCACCGAGATCCTTTGTCCGGTATTTACCTTCTGCAATAACGCGCTTCACAGAAGTTTCTAGTCGATCCGCGAATGAAGGAAATTGCAAGTGTCTTAGCATCATAGCTGATGAAAGGAGCAGAGCTACCGGATTTGCCTTCTTTTGCTCCAGCAATTTTTCATTCCCTACATTACCAGCAGAAGCTCCTTGCTCGAAAATAGCATGATCTGCCCCCACATTTCCTGACAAACCATCAAAAGAGGGACATGTTATTTGTAAAGTCTAGAACAAATACCATCAATGTCCAAATGTATGATGTATAATAATTATTAAGAGAGGTTTGTGTTCAGTGTTGGGAGTAAGAAATATGGAATGGGAAATATGAAAATTTATGGATGATATAAGCATAGTGACAGCATTGGAGTTAAGCCTTCTCCAGAAAGAATAAACATGCTCAATACTCAATAGATTCGGCTACTCATGACCCTATGTTATATGCTAAACTTTTGCAAGTTTAAATGGTAAAATGATATAGGCTATGTTTGGTAAAACTAGATAAGCTAGCTTATAGCTTTTAAGTGATTTTCGAGCTTATAGCTTATGACTTATAACTGAAAAGCTAGCTTATATGATAAAAGTGTTTGGTAAAATTAGTTGATAAGCTAGCTGAAATAAAAATTTCAACGAGCTTATTTGAAAAGCTACCTACAAAAGCTTATGAGATAAGCTCGACCTTTTAAAAAAGCTTGTCCTAGCAAACGGAGCTTATTTGAATACAAGAAGCTTATAACTAACTTATTTGGTTACCAAAAAATATCCATAGACAGGCAGGAAAAATAAATAGCATTTATGGAACAAATCAGTCAAAATCCCAATTTAGGTATTGCCTAAATCCCAAAACGAAGCACCATAAGCTCTATAATAATTAATTTCTTTCATTCTTCTCTCTCTACCATTCAGGGGCACCAATAGCAAACTAACATTAACATCTTACTAAGTAAATGCATCCCCACTTAAGATTGGAGGGGTTCATTCTTTGGAAACATAAATGGGATAAAAGTTTCCCACACTATTCATCAAACATACCCCCGGGCATGACTCCAGTACCACCAGCAATGCCAGCAGCTGTATTTGCAACCAAATTGCCATAGAGATTAGGAGTCACCTGCAAAAAATCAAATTCTTGTTGAAAGCTGTTGGCGAAAAGAAGTAAAGCTAAAGAAAGTTATGAACACAGCCCAGTGGGGCCATGAAAAAGAGAACCAATTGAAGACGAGAAAGAAGACATGATTTAACCAACAGACACAGCTACTTCGATTCAGCCGTATAGGTTCAACAAGATACTAAAGGTAAAATGTGGACTGATTCCAGGCCCACCAAGCATGTTCCCTTCAACTTTTTAATTAAATAATAGGAAGCCCAACAACAAACAGAATAAGCTTAGTATTTAGTTATAAACAGCAAATAGAATGATAAAGCTTGTTGCATCAGAATAATAAATGACCTACGAAAAATTGTTGGATCAGGAAATGGGCCTTTTCATGAACAAAACAACTATTGATTGTGTAAGCTGGTAAACGAAATAATTCTAAATATAGATAGAAACTAACAAACAATTGCAAAGGACTGCATCACACGGATCACGCTAGTAGCATCTAAAAAAATGTTTGTCTCTTGATCTATTCAGGCATACCATCTCTAATTTAACATCGTGAAATTTTGAGCCATAAATAGGAATATAGAATTCAGAATTTTCCTAATTTTGCCAGAAAAAGAAGTTGTCTGTAATTCCTAGTCCACACAAGTAAACTGAATCAGAAAGGAAGGGGCACAACAAAGTACGATGTCATCAGTGGGACTAGGTACGGTCAACCACATGGACTGACATTGCTGTCTGCTGATCAACTTAGGTACTCACCATCACATCAAATTGCTCTGGTTTAGAAACAAGCTGCATGGAACAGTTATCCACAATCATCTCGTTGTATTGGATACTAGGATACTTGCTAGCAACTTCACGACATGACTCCAAAAATAAACCATCTGCAAGCTTCATGATATTTGCTTTATGCACAGCAGTGACCTTCTTCCTGTTGTTCAGATAGGCATACTCGAAGGCATACTTTGCAATCCGTTCAGAACAGAACTTTGTTATGACCTATCAATTCCGAAGAAACAAACTGTGAAGACAACATAATTTTATTCTAATAAAGGATTCCAATACTGAGACAGCAGCATGAGATAAAATGTTTAACTGCATATAGCCTTCCACAGATTCACTATTGTATGACCAGCTGCAGATCTAAGAAGCAAATTCTAACATGCACACGTTTGTCTGAAACATTTATGAACTACATATCTTAGGTCAATCAATTTCAGTCTACAATCACGCCGCCTAACCAAATTTCTGAAAAGACTAACTCAGTATTCTTTCCCACCATCAAACATGTTTCAGTTTTCACATGGTATATGATCCAGAGAAATATAATACACTATTTTGGGCTATCAATCTTCATCCAATATACCCATTGTATTCATCAACTATAAGAAGGCCCTGCTGAAGACTAACATATAGCACTCTTAGATGGCAACCTCCATGCATCAGTTAGCAGTGTGAAAAGAAAACGGAAAGACAACAGAAATTTCAAAATTCTACAACATGACATAGCAATATGAATCACAAAATAATAATCGATGGTAATCAAAAGAAATCCAAAAACACCTTCAGGCTTTCAACAACTCCAGGAACAACCTCATGCTCGAGGCCCGAGTACTCTCCCTCTGTATTCTCTCGAATCACAACGATATCCACGTTGTCGTGCCGAGTGGGAAGCCCCTTCAGATTGAAACAGTGCACGAGGGACGCATAAAGATCGAGCTCTTTCCTCAACATCATGTTCAGCGAGCTCACCCCACCGCCAACAGGCGTCTTCAAACCCCCCTTGAGGCAGACCTTGTTCTTCTTAATCGACTCGATCACCTCAGCCGGCACACTCTTCATATCGCCATGGACGTCGTATTTCTCGAAGTACACCGGCGCATGCATCGCCTCCATCACCTGCTCCACCGCGCCGGTGACGAGCGGTCCCACGCCGTCTCCGGCTATCAGGGTCACGGGGCGGGGGTTGCCGTCGCCTGGACGGGGCATGTACGTCACGGATCGGGTCGCGGCTGCGGATCGGGAGCCGGAGAGGACCTGCCTGAGGATGGGAATTGTGCCCCTTGACATATTTGCTCGCGATAATATCGTGATTGGATATTTGAGGTGTGAAATTAGGGTTTGATTGAGAGGGCTCTGAGGCAGATGTGATTGGGGCAATGGCGGTAGAATTTCATGAAGAGGAGGGAGAAAAGGATGGCGGGGTTCGAAAGGAAAGTGAAAATATAATTATTAGGGTAATATTTAAATGAGATTTAGTTTGACTCGTTTATCATTAACTACTAGTACAGAGCCCGTGCAATGCACGGAGTGCATAATTTATTTATCCAGACTTATAATTATATACATGAATAAAGAAAAATGTACGGGTACGTGACCCGTGCGAAGCACAAGATATATTTATTTGGAGAATATTATATTATAAGATGCAATATTTAATAAAAGTTTATTATTTGGAGAATATTATATTATAAGATGCAATATTTATAAGAAATTGTACAATGTTCAATAGAAGTTTTATAATATTCAAGTGGAGTCTTAAAGTCTCTTGTACATTAAGACTACTGACAAAATAATATTTTAATCAATGAGTTTCATTTCGTTGTAGCCAAATTGTGAATGTGATTTGAGGAGTACAACAAATCGATATATAACTTGCTTTTTTCATTGTAGTTATTTTTTTCTTTTTTTTTTTATAATGAATTTAAAGATATTCTAAAATATAGCAAAATTTATTTTTTTTATTACAATTAGGAATTTTACTAAATATAAACTCTCAATCTATGGTGTTAATCAACGTTTAAATCTAAAAAATTAGGAATTTTTACCTCTTTTAATCAACGTTTAAGTCTAAAAAACAATAGAGTTATTATAAGTTTTTTTTCTACATCTTTTAAAACATTAAATATGAGCATGTTAGAGCCAGTTTGTAAAATAATTAATATATTATCTCACTAAAACATTTATACTAATAAAAATTTAATTTTAGCATATAAATTTATCCCTTGATATAAGAGAAAGTAACAGTTTTACTTATTGTTATTCCCCATATAATATTTAATTATTATTTTATTATATAATAAAAAAAAATATTGTTAAATAGTGTAGTAGTATTGTTATAAAATTATATGATTTTTTTTTACAATATGGATTTAATATTTTTTTATGATTTGATATATAAACAAATTTATACTTAACTTTGACAAATAAAACAAATAAATACTTTAGTAAGTATTTAATGTATATACTAAATAGAAATATATTTGGTATAATCAAATACCAAATATAATCAAATAAGTCAAAGTGTACATTTTTTATTTGGTATTTGATTTTTTTTATTATTAAAATCTTTTTATTATACTTACCTTTTTAAAATAAAACAAATAAATAAATCAATTAATAAAATATTATAATACTAAAATAGTAATGACATTTAATGCAGTTGACTTTTCTGGATAGTAAATGTAGTAAATAGAATATCCTTTTATATAGTATAATACGAAAATAGTAATGCAATAAATGCTGTTGATTTTTCTGACTACTTAATTTAGTAAATAGTACTCCTTTAATATAAGTATAGATGAGTAGAGCTCAAACGTTATCAAATAAGATAAAAAAAATTTAAAATTATGAATTTAACTCAAAGCTAAAGTGCATATTCAGTTCAATTAGCGATTTATCTAATAAACATTTAGTAGATAAATAGTTGAAATATATAATTCGTACAATGTTTTTATTTTATTAAAAGAAAAACCCTGATTTGGTAAATAGCTGAATTATTAATCGGAATGATGTATTTTTTTAAAGAACTCTTTTCAAAATGTTGTTTTTTAGAATTCTTTCTGTAAATTACCATTTTGTATAAAAAAAAAAATCAATAAGCTCGTTATCAAATAAATTATTTAACTTATTTGAGTAGACAGACAGAGTTCAACTGAATAGCACAATGAGGGAGTCCAATGAAGACCAACAACAATATATCTTCATTGACGCCTCCAATGCTCAAAAGTGAGAGATACAAGCATCATCATTCATTATAAAAAACAAAATACAAAGAAAAACATAGACAACAACAATAGGTAATCTATGTCATTAAACAAATGGTTTTGGTGAGATGTACTTAACCATTAAATCGATACAATTATTTTTAAGAAATACTAGTATACAACTCATGATTGATATGCTCTTCCTTTAAGTAACTAAACTAGTCGTGACCCGTGCGATGCACGATATGATATATTTAATTGAAACTTTTTTAATAGTGAATATTAAAATTAATAGATTTGTTATATATACGTAACAAACGTAAACAGTTTGGGCGTCCTTATTGAACAATGGGTTGAATGGGACGATATTAAATTAGATCGATAGCAACACTTACATTTTACCGCCTCGACAATGGAAACTTGATTGGTGCAGTAAGAGTTGTATTTTCGTTCTTGTTGTCACTCAAGATGTCTATTACGATGCTTTCTGATCCAAGAATATTAGAATTATTCGATTTTTTTTTTCCATAAAAGTTACTTTGACATGTTTATTCAAACAATTACACAAAAGAATATAAATAACTAATAAAATATCATAAAACCGATGTGAGAATATCATGATGTATATATAAAATAAATTATAAATGGAATATAAATAAAATACATTTATAATATCACTGAAGGACATATGAATTGGAGTATTTGATGAACTGCCTAATCCAATTGCCACTTGCCATTTGCTAACAGTTGATCCAGTGAGAAAATGGGATTCATAGTACCTATATATGTAAGGTCCATATAACAATACTGAAAGATTATGTATAATAAATCTATAAAAATAAAAGGGTAAAAAATAGAAAATCAATAGACATTATTAATAAAAACAATAACCTAACAACAATTATCACATTTAATCAAATTAACAATAATTAAGAATGGATATATAACCGATATAAAAACACATATATTAGTTTTTCTAATATTACGCACATAAAATTCATCAAATGGACCATAGCATATTTAAATTATATAGCATATTTATATAAATAAAATATCGGGTCAATTAAATGAAAACATTAATTTTGTCAAAAAAAAAATGGCCTAATAAAAACAACCCATATCATATTTAAAAAAATGTATAATCAGGCCCATGAATAACTATTTTTTTTTTCTAGAACGGGCCAATTTGTTAAACATCCCGTTTTCAAATAATTTTTGCTTGACAAAAATATTATAGCTCGCTAATTTAAGCCCAAAAACTGTACCATTTTTCCAGCCCACATTAAGACCATCTCAAAATGATCCAACGACTGTAATTAACGATGGATATAAACAGAAAATTTGTGGGCAGTAGGGTTTAATTTTTCTCACATCATCTATGCCGCTTCCCTTCGAAATTGTCGGGTTAATTTCTAAGAATTTTATCTCTTTCCATGTTTAATTTAAAAAATTTCTTACTACTATTGTACTGAAACCGCCGATTTCTTACTAATTTTGTTCAAATTCATCCGAGATTTGAGGTATGCGAGATCACACTCTTAGTAATGATTTTTTGTTCGATTTTATAATGGTCGGAGCTATTTTTTCTGGGCTTCATTTGATGAAGCCATCTGATCTATTGCGAGATTTGACGGAAATATTGAAGACGGAGTCTGAAAATTCGGAGGTAGAGTTGTCCGATTCATGCACAATATGGATCAGCCAAACACAAAGGTTGTTTATACATTTTTTTTTTTCAACAAAATTTCGGTGCATGTTTATATAGATTTNAAATTTCGATGCATGTTTATATAGATTTTTTTTTAAATGGGTTTGTATCTCTGTTTATCCTATGATTCATCATTTAGAAACGTTTAAAATGATTTATATTTTTCCTTAAATTTCCACTTCTTGCACACATGAGCTATGTATGTGTTGTTGATTTAAGTCTAAAAAGATATACTCCATACTTTATAAGGAAAAGCCAGTCTCTGTTACTGTTAGGTAAAGAGAACTACATGTTCTTTCATAGATGATCTTATTATTTCTTAGATTTGCTTGAATCTTTTACTTGGGGTTGAGGGTTTCCAAATAGAGGGTTTCGTTGTAGTGATTTTTGTGGATATCAGTCTATGTTATTTTCAGTTCTATTGGAAATTGTTTTAAGATGGAAAAATGAGGGTTAGGGGTATTTGATCTGTTGGGTTTTGGTGCACAGAATCATATATGAGGTTATGATGGCTTATTTGGTTTTCATTGTTTTTGTTGCAATGTTTGATGATTTCGTCTGTAGTTATTAATTGTTATTGTATTTGTGTGTATCTTCATATTATTAATTCAAAATCTTTAAAAATGGGTTTGTAAGTCTGTCGATTGGAAATGACTTAAAAAATATCATATTTTTTTTTTTTTGGTGTTTGTAACTCATGTCATTTGGTTGCGGATTCACTAATCCAAAAACATAATTCGGCTCCAAGCAACACAAAAATCGGTCAAACAAAGGTGACAACTATAGAAGCTAAAGTACAAGTACCTAAAACTATAAGCTTACAATATCGTGCATAGCAGTTTATAATAATGTTTGCTACCTTTTTGCAGGATTTGTATCTAGAACACAATGATAGAGAATATATAAATTCAGTGAAAGATACATAATATCAAACAGGTACTCTCTTTTTCATTTGCAATTTGTAGAAAATTAATGTCTATAACTTTAATTATTTCTGTTTGCATGTGAACATCCGACATGATATCGAGAATGTTGGATAAGCGAACTATAGCATTCAGAAGAGTTGAAACACAGACAAATAACAATGGCTATACAACCAAAGGTATTACAATTTTGTATGTGCTTCTAATAACTTTATCATATTTCAGTTTTATTCTTTTTGATTTTGTGTAAATTGTTTCAAATTTTTTGTTGCATGAAAAATATGAAATGAAGCAGACATAGTGTACATTCGTGTTCGTTGATTGAGTGCTAAACCAAATTGTAAGGTATTGTTCTTGTTCTTATGAAAAAATAATATGAATTCTATCATATGGATTGATAAAAATTAGTTGATAATTTGTTGTGTCTGGTTGTAGAAAATGCATGTACTGGAAAAATCCAGAGCCTGACTAAACAAATACATGGACAAACAGACTGTGCACATAACTCATCCCAATTAGATATGCATTCAGGTATGTTTGCATATATTTGTACAAAATATCAACTAAGTAAGCTATTTACTTGGATATTAAAAATATAAACTTGGAATTTGTTAGACTCATCGGTCGTTGGCTTCTTTTGTTAGATCTTTGGTCTGCTACACTCCTATTTCTGTCTTAATCTAAATCAAGCAAAACCTCTGTTAGAATTTATATGAAACATTATATATGTTATATAAAACACCAATAATATGCATATACATATATTCCAGAACATACCCTGTGGTATGATCTTTTACATTCAAACTGTTTATTTTTTGTTTTCACATATATTTCTTTAGTCTTATATTAATATGTTTCATACCATACCATGTGCTATAGTCTTTGACATTCAAAAATTAAAATATTGTAAAACATGACAATATATTCAGAAGTTAAAATACTGAAAAAATTACAGAAAATATGGTCTTTCACTTATGATTCAGATCATACCCTGCTATAGTGTATTAGATTCAGCCTACTTTGTTTTTTTGGGTGACGTATCATAATTGCAAAAGCATGACAGAACATATAACAAAATTACCTGTGAATATGTTTTCAGCATTGTTGTTTTTTCTGCGTTTATTTAGCTAATTTTTTCTTGCATTCTGGATGATGTATTCATCTGAATCCATTATAAAACTAAATATGATGTTGTGACTTGAGACACTAAAGTAGGCTTTAGAATTCTTCAACTCCTGCACCAAAAAATATTGAGGAATGTATGTGTAAATCATCATGAATGTATAAATCATATAAAATTTAATGAATCGTAGAGTTCAATAAAAAGATTTGTACCTGGTCCTATGCAAATATCAAATTAGTATTGCTAGCCCTTCACTGTAATATAGATTACAGTATTTTTTTTTTTTTTTTAAAGGCCAAGATATATAAAATTCAAACAATTATTCTGTTAGCCTCGATGTTTTTCAGTTTCCTATAGGAATAGGTATCTTACACAATGGTTGTTCCATATAGATGGTACAAACTCGAGTAGATGTTCCTTTAGCTAGACCTAAGCATAAAACAGGGTCGAATTCAAATTTTCCGATTAGGTGGAGCCTGTTGTTCGGTGCCGGCGGAGATTCGAATCGAAACCTTCTGAACCAAATCCAATCGCATCCGTAAAACAAGCATGTGCATAGCGGTGTTCATGTGGAAATCTCATCCAGTCTACCCCTTAATCCTGTTGCTCAACAGAGACGAATTGTATAACCGGTGTGTTATATACAATTTTTCACTTCCCTTTGCGCTGTTCGCTTCAATCTCCACTTTGTTGAGAGGTACCTTCTATTTTCAGGCCGACGGAGCCGTTAGGTTGGTGGGAGGACGGCGGAATACTCGGCGGGCGGGATGTTCAGGCCGGCGGAACATGGCTGGCCTGCACCAAGCACGGGAAGCTCGCGTTCCTTACGAATGTCAGGGAAATCCGGTCCGATTCGCAGGTAAAGAGCAGAGGAGAACTCCCGATTCGCTTCTTAAAGGTAGCTCGATCGTGTCTCGTAAGATTTAGAAAAAAAATAGATTTTGTGGATTTAGTACAACCAGTTTCTCGATTGTTCTTAAAGGTAGCTCCATCGTGTCTTGTAATATTTAGTAAGTTTAGGTTTTGTGGATCACTGGATCTAAGTGAAACCAACTTTTCTTGTAAGATTGTTGTGTACTGTAAATTTTGCTGCTATGCAATTGCTTCTGATTACCCTTATGTTTGCTGAGAATTTGTTAGTTCTTCTTGGCAATCGCGTGTTCGTATAATCACCGAGGGACTTGTGTTTGTCGGGGAGTATCATGGGGCATTGCTTTGTTGCTGATGATTTTTCTACTTCAATATTTTTTAGCTGGCTGTGATTTTAGGTTTTTCTCCTTTTTCCGGAAGGATTTACTGCAAGTGATGATGCATGAGAGTTGGGTATCTTTGCAGGGCACAAAAAGTCCCAGAGAATTTGCGGAGGAACTCGTGGGAGAAGCTGACCAGTTCCATGGTTTCAATCTAATAGTAGCTGACCTTCGATCTATGACCATGGTTTATGTAACCAACAGGCCTAAAGGCGGCGTGCATGTCACGGAAGTTTCGTCTGGTATCCATGTTTTGTCGAATGCACAGCTGGATACACCCTGGCCTAAGGTGAGATGTTAAATTTTAGTCGTTGTTGATGCTTTATTTTGATTGTATGTGTGTCTATGCCTTATTATGGGTGCATGCACAACAAGTTATTAACACTGCCCTTACGTGTTGTGCAATGTGATTGTCATTTGCTCGGGTTGAATCCATTATTCGGGAGAGAATTAACTAATGGGAAAAACTGGCATAATTTTTTTATTTTTTCATGATTTAAAAGGGATGCATTTAATTGAAGTAACTAGGTTAGGTTGAAGCATATATATATATGAAATTGTTTTTGCAGACGTGATGGGTCTGATATGGGCTGTCGGTTGTCTTGTTATCCAGGTTTGAAGAATACAATACCACATACTGAAGCATTTTATTTCACAAAGTGAACTTCATTCATCTTGACACCGTATGAGTAACAAAAACTCATGTCTTTATCATCACTCTGCAAACATACTACAGTTTTCAGACATTGGGCATATCATTTTGTTATTACGCACACTGTAACACTAACACTGTAGGATTAGTTTTTAATTTCAATTCAAAAGAACATTATGTTGTAACACAATGGCACCATATTATTTTCCCATGCTGAATCAGAAGGTCTAATCAGGTATATTGGGTCAATTGTTTGCAAATAAATATGTTCCTCACTGTTAGTTGCATTAGTTTTGCTTAGTTCGAGAAGTCGTTGTGCTCATAAATGAAGGCCATAGATGGCGAAGCGTTCATTTTAAAAATTCAGTAACATGCTTCTTGTTGTTTTATTTCTCTTGCACTGCAGGCTGTACGGTTGAGGCACAGTTTCGAGGATGTAGTTGAAAAATTCTTCAATTCTGAGATTTCACTGAAAGATATCACTGAAATTCTAATGAAAGACACCACCAAGGACGATGGAAATGAGCTTCCGGGCATATATCCTCCCGAATTAGAGTACCAATTGAGTGCCATTTTCGTTGAAACAGACACAGCAATGGTAATGTCCCGTTTTTCTGAAATTAATAAAGAAAAGAAGTTTATAGTCACATCAATGTTACCCCGTTTATTCTATCAAACATGGCTAAGTAGTATTTGCATACCATAGGGACGATATGGAACGAGAAGCACTTCTGCATTTGTCTTGAAGACAAACAGAGAAGTATCATTTTACGAAACGTATCTGGAAAATGATGAGTGGAAGGAACAAACAACGAGCTTTCATATTGAAGAAGTCGAATCGTAGTGTTATCAATGGCGGCCCTTTGGTGGCCATCCTTCACAAATGCTGGCACGAGTAGCTGGAATTATAGGAGGTAAATCAAATCCTTCGTTGTGCCTACTTTTAGAAGAATATATCTGTATCCTGGCTAACTAGTTCGTAAACTAGATTAGTAAAGCAACTATTGCAGTATTGTGCATGGAAAATACTCTGTGTGAACTATGTTAACAGTCAGTCTCATTGAATAATTTTATTTTTGAGTATTTCCACTTTTATGTAATATTGAATTTGTATACACAATGTATTATATGCCTATGAATAAATTTTGGAATATTTCAACTGAAGTAACATTGGATTTATATGTATCCAAAAGCATCTTTGGGATTGGAAAGAGGGTGGACCCTGCTGGAGCTTGAAGTGTTTTTAATCTTTGGTTTTATGTAATTTTTATTTTTATTTTTTTAATAATAGAAGCATTCACAAATAACTTATTCATACATCTAGATTGTTATTTCTAACATGCATCAAGTGTTTGAACCGTAAGATCATACACACACATCTCAATTATTATCTGTTAACATGCATCAAATACATTTTTGGGCCCAGTTACTTACATTTTGGAGCCCAGTTACTTTTACTCGTCTGATATAAGGAAAGCTCGCACAAAACCCACCATAATCTTATTGTACTTACAAATCACCATCAACAAAAAGTTTAAGCAGCTGTGCACGTATATACTAACAAGTAACAACTCAAATGAACCATATATGTTTATTTGAGAAACATACTAGTCTAGTCTATCTACATATACTGGTTCAAGTTGTGTTTGTAATATGTATATTTATTCAAAAAAATATATTCATGAATAAAAATATGTATATTTATTCAAAAAAGTATGGTTACCTAGCCCTTGTAAAGAAATTATTGTAAAGCATTGGATAGTAAAAACTAAAAATGGTAAGAGAGAATCTAGAGATGAAGCTAAACTCTACCAAGATCAATGATTATCTTTCTCAACTTCTTCTCTAAGAGCACATATTGATGTTTGAAGTATGGATTTGAATGTGCCTATAGTTAATCAAGATACAAGCATATGGAGATTATACTGTTTGCACAATTAGGACTAGGTGTACGATGTTTCTGGTTTTTATGTAAAATTTTAAGAGTCAGAGAGCTGGAACCAGTATATTCTAACAGTTCGGTTAAACTAGTTCTTTGAGAAACTAAAATGAACAAAAAAACCATCTATCCGTTGGTTATGATACAAGAAGTGATGCTTGGAGAAACAAAAATGAATGAAAAAAATCATTACTTGTTTCAATTATAACACAAGAACCGGATAAATATATGTACACGCTGTATATATGCGGCTCTTCGATCAATTCATATTCCAAAAAGGCCGCGAGGAGCTATATGGCGTATGCCGTAGTTAAAATGATATCAATTCAAGGCTTATCTCGCTACTCCATGACATAAACAAATAAGAATACAATTTTGCAAAAAAATCCTTATGCAAGAAAATCGAACATTATAATCTGAACACGTTCTGCAGATCGCGATTCGGTCAACTAAAGCTGATCGCGATTCGGTCAACTAAAGCTCATCTTGCGTCCTCACAATTAAATGTTGCAAGTATTAACAAATGCATACAAAATGGGGAATAGATAGATACAGTTTTGTGCTATGGAGCCATCAGATGGCTCGACTTATGGAGCCACCCACTCTTATTCACCAATAGTGTATTGACACGTGTCATACAATAAATTCAATTTAGACATGTGTCGATACATTAAATGGTGGATGGCTCCATAAGAAAACCATCCGAGGGCTCCATAGAACTATTGTAGATATATAAATCTAGTTCCTTTCCTTGTATATGAGCACACAACCAAAATGTGAAGAACAAACATATACTCCTTGCCTTTAGGGGGTAGTAACTAGTAAATGTCCACAGATTTCCTTAGTTCAACCACACACAAGCAAAACCAGATAAAACTTGCAAACTATTCACTTTCTTAAAAAATCTTTCAATTAATGGTGGAAAGATCCTTAGAAAACAATCCATGTAAAACACTGAATAGTGTCTGAATTGCAATGTTTTCATGATTATAGAGGATCTTTTTACAAAATAACAATACACCATTTTGGATCTTTTTCCAAATTTAATATCTACAAACAAGACGAATTTAGAAAAGGTTCGGTTCGTCCCAACATGGCATGCACCACTTATGGTAATCAAGTACTTAAAAACATGACAATCATTCATCATCAGCCCTCTTTTTTCTTTTTTCTCATACCTTCACAGAGAAAATCTCTACAAGAGAGTACCAAGTCCCCGATATCCCAAGAAAGGCACCCATGACAATTATTCCCACATCAACAAACCCTTGTTTCGAGCTCATCTCATCCTTGAAAGTCAAATAATGGAACAATGCAGGCAAAACGAAGCCCAACATACAACACGTGCTGCTACCGACTAAAGACAAAAAATCGGCAAAATTCGGGACAAACAATGCAACTAAGCTCACCCCAAGCACAAGCATCCATCTCATCCAAAGGCAGTACTTTCCCTCCCAAAATCTCCTCTCGAAAACCTCATAAACAGGGTTCATCATCAATGGGAATGTGAAGAACAAATTTATACAGAGGCCCAACTGAACTAAAGTACTCAACAGACCTTTCCCCATGTTAGCTGTGATGATATCCTTCGTATTCTCGCCGAATGCTAAGTAACCCATTAACCCAAAACTACCATACATTGCTGCAATGAAAAGCATTGTGAGAGCAAGAATCTTGCCGAATTTGGACCTGTTTTTCATCTCCGATTCGAGGGGTAAAGCCATTCCGATTCCCTCGAACGAGTAAATGGCCACACCCAAACCGTAAAAAAACGTGGAAAGTGTTCCGAATGCCTCGATTATCGGAATTTGCTTAGTGAATATGATGAAATCCTCAACCATAACTACTCCCATTGCCCCCAAATCGACTATATCTGCAAAAATGCTGAGAGGGGCTAAGAGTGTGAGTGAAGGGATGGAATTCAAGCCCAATTGGAAAGGGAAACAGGCCCAGATGTAAATGGTCTTGGCAGAGAAGCCCAAGATTCTTGCTGGGCTTGGGCCTGAGGAGGAGGAGATGAAAAGGCTGGCGAGAGTGTTGCCGATGAAAATTAGGTATCCGATGCAGAAACCCGCCTGAGAGAGGACGATCATGGAGTCGACGGCGAATCTGCCGGCGGGCCCGCAGACGGCGAAGCCAAGGTCGCCGAAAGATGAGATCTTTGGGAAGGCGCAGGATGGGGAGTCCTCGAGGCGGCGGCGGGTGCGGATGAGGAGCATCATGCAGTGGTAGGTGAGGGCGGCGACGAGGGAGACGGTGGCGAGGCTGGTCAGCCAGCCGCACCGCATGAACGTGTAGGGGAGGCCGAGGACGCCGGCGCCGACGATGGCGATGAAAACGTTGGCGAAGGTCTTGGGCTGGGAGGAGAGGGCGTGGGGCCCGCCGGCGGCGGCGCCGGAGAGAAGAGGGGTGTGCTCACTTGGTTGTCGGGAACTCGGCGACGATCCGGCGGCGCCCTTTCGCTTTTCGAACACCATTTTGGGGAAAAAGGGGTAAATTTGCCTATGGCGAGTGAAGAAATTTTACAGATCTGAAAGGAGCCCTTTCAAAAATCGTAAAGTGTATGGATTATGTAGGATTGATTAATCCGAAAAACTGAAACTCAGCCTGGGTGATTGTTGTTGATGGGTTATCGATGGATAACCTTAAAAAAAACAGACTGAGAACTGGAAAATGGTGGTGTTAAGGGTTGGAGATGGTGGAAAAAAGATTCGACCTTTGAAAGATTATTATTTAGGAATTTGGCCAAAAATGGATTGTTGAAATTATTATGTGCAAAAATGGGGGAAAGTTGAAGTTTTCCTTGCTATATGAAGATAAGGAGAATTAGGAGATGGTAGCTTAAAAAAACAAACTGAAAACTGACCATAAAAGTGGCCCACATTTATTCAGGTGAGTGTGTGCAAGCTGCGTATTAATTAATTATTGACATTACAAGAATTTCTGTAATTATTGTTCATCACAAGAATTTGTGTGACACGAGAACATAAATGCATATTAATATTAATATCCGAATGTAACAATTATTTATTTAGATTTTTTTTTCTAATATAATGTGATGTGATATTGAAAGTATTGATATATTTAAAAAGTTCTGTCAATCTAATGATTAGATCGGAAGAGCTAGCAAATATCTGCCATTTCTTGGAGAATTTTGGGGAAATTCTCTACTAAATTGATGAATCTGCAAATTCTGTTCATAGCTCACAAAGAAGACGATCACGTGGCAAATTCGAGTATCATACAGAGCAAGACAGACATACTTATTCAACGTATGTGCATACAATACTTTTTAAAGTGATATATCATATCTAAAAAGCAATAAAACAAAAATATCACATTTCGTACCCAAAAAATGCATTTTTGCTAACAAAAAGGTACAAAAGTATCACATTTCCTAGCATAAATATGGATTGTATAAATCTATTGCTTGTGACACACTTAATTTGCTAATTTTGGATATCTTATTAAGGGCTAAGATACTTTCAGTATTATGTTGTGTAACGACTTGCAAATTCTGTATTCGAGCAACTAAAAAGATCCATATGTTTTCCGTTTTGATACTTTGCTTTTGGCAATAATGTGTTCGTAGCATTACCTCTTGTTATATAATTCCATGTCGTTAAATGTTTGGAAGACAAAAGCAAGATAAAACAGAAGAGAAGATCGACTAGATCAGTAGTTGTGTAAGAGTAAAGCTTAATGTTTTTCTTATACCATCGAATGTCTGTCAACCTTTTACAAAATCTTGTGCAGCTTAGCAAATAAAAAATTACCAATGAACTTTGTGGTTGTGATAGTTGTATGTTTTGTGTTTTGATAATATTCATGTGTAATTGTGATTGTAGATGTTATATGTAATTTTTTGGACTGACCCATTTATTATTTGGGCCATATTATTCATGTTCCTTATTGGGCCTACACCCTCTCAAGCTAAGGGCCCAACACATAAAATAAAAGAGCAGACGCCAACCCACAAACTTTATGCCAATCCATTTTCAGTTTGGTTGTCGATCCAATAATTCACTTCCAATATCGATCTACATCTACTGATCCAATATAAACAAGAACCAGAAAAGCAGTCGCCCAATCAGTCTCATCATCAAAAGTAGTACTGATATTTGTCTTCATGCATCCGACTTTCCCCAACACATGTCTGATTTTTAAACCCCTAGTTGACATACGACAATTATTACGTTTTTTTTTCACTTTAATCATGTATATATATTCGACATTGAATAGGTTCTGGCGCCACACATTCAATTATATGCACACAAAACACATTTCTACTACACAATGTCGATATCTCTTGTTTTTCGACAATCTCTCGTTACATTCAAATTTTACTTGCTTTTACATTCAAATTGGTTTGATAACTACTTGTTATCAAATAGATATCGCCATATTACAAGTAGGCTTTTAGATGAGATGACCCGAGCTCGAGCTGGTCGGCTCATTAACTAAATGGCCAGTCATTGAGTTTGAGCTCGATTCGTTTATCAATATAAAGAGTCGAGCCCGAGCCTCAACGAGCCAAACTTGAGTTTTAACAAGTCGGGCTATAGAATTTATTATACAAAATATTTTCCTTTCGAATTTAACAAACTGTGTCAGCCCGATTCATTAATAAATGAGTTTTAAACGAGCTCGAGCTCCATCGACTTATCAAGTTGAGCTCGAGCTTTAATGAGTTAACTCGTGTTCATAAGCGGCTCGACTTCTTTCATTTAACAGCTAATTACAATACAAGCAATGAACGAATATGCTGTTGGTAGAGGTTGTTACAGTTTTAAGTGTTAGAAAAAAGTCATAAGCAGGATATCTGATATCTTGTGAGTTGTGAATGTTGGTGCCCATTGTTTATTTTTCTTTTATATATATTCTCTTGGTGAGCACATTTTGGAAGACACATTTTACTAGTAATTTGGTACCCATGTTACTAAACAGTCTAAACTTTGTTGATTTGGTCAACATTTTGATGTCTTTTTCAACCCACGTTCCTTAACCCATGTGATTGTGAATGTGTCCATTGACCATTGAGTCAGACAACTTTCTTTACATAATTTGAACCAATAGTTTTTTTTTTTTTTAATTAATAATCGGGGTAAATTTCAAACCTACATGTCCTCATCGAGTTTTATTATTGTTGGATCATACACTCACTTTTATTAAAGTCCTCATCGACCGAATGAGGTCGGATTCCATTTTAAATGCGAGACAATCTTCTTGATCACTACTGTTCCGAGAATTTAATGTGTCTCTCTCTGGAATCGGAATTTAATGCGAGACAAACTTTAATAATTTATTTAAATGAATGTTTAAGAGGGACAATATTGATTGCACACTACGGGATGATTTCGTGATCGACTTTTGGAAATTGAAAATATTTTTGTTAAATTAGATTATGTTTTGTTAATTAGTTTGCAGGGAGAATGGTGTGCATACAAGGCAATGTTGTCTACATGAAGACTTTTAATAATATATAATATTAATTTTTTATTCTAATTATTTAATTTTCTTTATTCATGAATATAACAATAAAGTTGGGTAAATAGTCATAAAATTGTTCACCCTGTGCATCGCACGGGCTCTGCCTAGTTGTTCCAAGAACATTAGTCGTTAAAAATATAAACATAATTAAAATTATCTTACAATCTCATACTTGGTTAGTAAGAAAGATAAAAAAAAAATATATGTAGGTATTTTATGTATGAAATACTAACTATTTAAACGAAACGAGCCACTTTTGAATTCGGCTCGACTCGTTTACGAACTTAGGATAAGTTCCGAAAAGAAAAATTCCTATATAATTTTCATAATGCGGCTCGTTAATATTGATGAATGAGTCAAACACAAGTTCAATTAGTGGCCTATTCAATTAAGACTCAAGGTCAATTCGACTCGTTTACTAGTATCAAACTAAGTATTAAAATCATAAACAACAGTAGTAATAATAACGCGGCTCGTTAATACTAATGAATGAGTTATACACGAGCTCAATTACTGGCCTATTCAGTTGAAGACTCAAGGTCAATTCGACTCGTTTACTAGTATCAAACTAAATATTGAAACTAAAAATAACAGTAACATCAATTTGACTCGTTTACTAGTACGTATCAAACTAAGTATTAAAATCATAAACAACAATAGTAATAGTAATAATAATAATAAATAAGTCATACATGAGCTCAATTATTGGCTTATTCAGTTGAAGACTCAAGGTCAATTCGACTCGTTTACTAGTATCAAACTAAGTATTGAAATTAAAAATAACAATAACATTAATAATGCTGCTCATTAGTACTAATGAGTAATGAATGAGTGATACACGAGTGAACTGTTCAGTCAATTCAACTTGTTAATTATATTATTATCAAACTAACAATTGAAATCATAAACGATGATAATAATAATAATTGGATCATAAATAAAGTGAAGCAATAAACGACAAAAAGGAACAAAATAGGAAGGCCGCCACTGTCCACTCTCCACCACCCACCCGGCCCACCACACAACCGCATCAGTCAAATCAATTATTATTACTATTTATATAAACAAATAATTTCCTTTTTTTTTTTCATACGTTGTTGTTCAGTCGATTAATGTGCTGTGTGTACACTGCGAAAGGGACAATTATTATAAAGAAAACAAAAGCAAACAACTTTTTTTTGAATATTTATTTATTTAATCATTTTTTTATTCAATCAATGGCGATTATGAGAGAAATGGAGGTGGAGCAGCTCCCTGGCTGAAGGGGAATCTTCCTTCTACCTTCTGATCATCTTCCTTAATCGTGATTACAACCAACACACACACACAATCGTGCGTAAAGAGCCCTTTTGACAATATATTCTCTCTTGCTCCTTTTCCCTGGTAATTTTCCACTGTAATCTTTAGATCCGTCCTGAGAATTTTTCTCTTCTCGATCCCTTTTTTGGTTTTTTGGTGCCCATCAGCGTATACGATTTGTGTATGTATCATTTTGTTGACCCCCTTATGCGAAATTGCCTATATTGGTTTGCATTTGTTCATGTTTATATACCTTGTTGTCATCTTCCGTTTGGTGTTCAAATGTGTTGTGTTTTTGATTNTGAATTATGTCTTCTTATCTTAGCATTTTTTCTTTTCAGGTGGGCTTTTTGGTGAGCTGAGTTTTGTGTGTTTTGTATGAAAATGTTCAATTGTTTGCATTTCCAAGCTAATAGGACCAATATTTGCTTCATCTTATCTCTGATTTTTGCAGGGTTCCAAGCATTTTCCTAATCGATGCAAAATCGAGCCGAAAATAGATAGAGAAAGGGTTGCACGAGCCGTTTCATGGGCAACACATGCCGTGGATCATTCGGAGTCAGACCTTTTCAGGGCTACACTCAGCCCGAAGAACAATCAAACTCCAAGCACAAATCTTCACCCGGCCGCTCAAACTCCTCTAACAGCTACTCCCCGACCAGCCTAACCTCCCAACACCTCGTCGCTCAAGAATTCTCCAAAAAAAGCAAAAAAGACTCGAATTTGCCGCCTCCCGTTAGCTCAAAGAAAGAATATAGTAGCACCATGAGCCGTAACTCGACAAATCAGGCTTACTTCGTGTTGGGTCATAAAACCCCGAATATCCGTGATCTTTACGTATTGGGCCGTAAATTGGGTCAAGGCCAATTCGGCACAACTTATTTATGCACCGAGATCTCAACTGGTGTAGAATATGCTTGTAAGTCGATATCGAAGAGAAAATTGATCTCAAAAGAGGATGTTGAAGATGTGAGAAGGGAGATTCAGATAATGCATCATTTGTCGGGGCATAAGAATATAGTTACGATTAAAGGGGCTTATGAGGATCCTTTGTATGTTCATATTGTTATGGAACTCTGTGCCGGGGGTGAATTGTTTGATCGTATTATTCAAAGGGGACATTATAGTGAGCATAAAGCGGCTGAGCTGACGAAGATCATTGTTGGGGTTGTTGAGGCGTGCCACTCGCTCGGGGTCATGCATAGAGACCTTAAACCGGAGAATTTCTTGTTGGTTAATAAGGATGATGATTTCTCTCTCAAAGCTATTGATTTCGGGCTTTCGGTTTTCTTCAAGCCAGGTTGTTAAGGGTGTGATTTGATTGGTTTTTGATTGGTCTATTTTTTTTTTAACTATAGTTAATTATAAAAAATGGGGTGGTGAGAATTTAAGTTTAAATTAAAATATTATTTAAAATAAAATAATTAACGTTGATTTGATGTAAAAGTAAGAGAAAAAATTATTGGAAGTGATAGTTAGTTAAGATTATGCGACAGTTGGATGTGATGGATGTGATCTGTACGAATGATTGGTTGAATATTATTTAATTATATTGGTAACATTGAGGATAGTGAGGTTGAGTTAAAATTGAGTTAGATTTTGAGTATGAACTGATTTTTTTAATGAACAAACATAGCGTAAACTGTTTTACGGATTGTTTCATTTCATCTGTTTGTTTTGGTTTTTTCGCAGGCGTTTTTAGTAGGCTTCAGTTCTCTTCATATTTTGTGTTTTAATTTCACTTCCGATTTGTGTTTTTACTACTTCAGGTCAGATTTTCAAGGACGTGGTGGGGAGCCCATATTACGTGGCGCCTGAGGTTCTTTCGAAGCATTATGGCCCAGAAGCAGACGTGTGGACAGCTGGAGTTATAGTCTATATATTGCTTAGTGGTGTACCTCCTTTTTGGGCTGGTAAATTAGTTTGCTACATGAGTGTAAAATATTTTCCAGGTGCTTTTATAACTGATAATGATCCCTTTTAAATGCTACAGAGACTCAGCAGGGAATATTCGATGCTGTATTGAAAGGACATATTGATTTTGAATCTGACCCTTGGCCACTAATATCAGAAAGTGCTAAGGATCTTATAAGAAAGATGCTATGCATGCAACCATCCGAGCGGTTAACTGCTCATCAAGTATTATGTGGGTTCTTTATCTGCCTACTTTTCGAGTTTTAGCACTTACATCTTTTACTTGGGATTGCCTGAGATGTTTTTCAATTTTCTTGTGAAAATGGATCATTGTGTTGGGGTTGACAAAGGTCTCAGCTTTATTTTTTGCGTCATAAATTGTTGTGTTTGGACCTTTACATATTACTCCTTTTTTTTCAAAAAAAAAATGTAGTGTTATGTCTTGGCATGGTAATAAAATACTTGTGTACTTTGCTTGAGGGAATGTTTCGAAAATTATTGTTACTGAGGATAGGATTTGATCTCGGGTTTTTCATCATCTTCTGTTATAGGTCATCCTTGGATATCTGAAAATGGCGTTGCGCCAGACAGAGCCCTAGATCCAGCTGTCCTTTCTCGTCTCAAACAATTTTCCGCAATGAATAAGTTAAAGAAAATGGCATTACGGGTATGTATGTAACCTCGTATTTAGCATGTGACGAGTTTATATTTTATAAGCTTATTGTCTGTTTTCATCCAATACACTGTTTTATAACCTTGTATGCTCTGTTTCTTATTTCAAGAAATAAGGACTTTAGGAAGTGAAATTTTTGGTGCTCTTATTTCTGTCTTAGGTAATAGCTGAAAGCTTGTCAGAAGAGGAAATTGCAGGCTTAAGAGAGATGTTTACAACTATGGACACTGATAACAGCGGAGCAATCACATTTGATGAACTCAAAGCTGGTTTAAGAAAATATGGATCTACTTTAAAGGATACAGAAATACGTGATCTTATGGATGCGGTATGACAATTTTTTCTTAGTAGATTATTCTTTGCAATGGCACTTGAAAGTGAAAACCTTATAATATTGATTTTGTTACAAATTCACCATTGTACTTTAGTTCAACTAGGTGTTAACTATAGCATTTTTCAATCGGTCTTCATGTTTTTGTCCTTCAACTGTTCTAATCAGAACCATTTGCCAAATGTAGTTTATATTCCACACCTATATTTATATAATGATGTTATGTTGATGAATTCATATTCTGAAGGCCGATGTAGACAATAGTGGGACCATTGACTACGGAGAATTTATAGCAGCCACAATTCATTTGAATAAACTCGAACGTGAAGAACATCTTTGGGCTGCATTCCAATACTTCGACAAAGATGGAAGTGGCTATATTACAGTTGATGAACTTCAACAAGCTTGTGTAGAACACGGCATGACAGATGTTCCCTTGGAAGACATTATCAAAGAAGTTGACCAAGATAATGTAAATTCTCTTTCACATTGCTCTATATATCTGAGTTTTAGAGTGTGTTTGATAAGCACAATAAACTAGCTTATAGTTTATTTGATTAGCTTATAAGCTTTCTGTATACAAATATGCTTGTTTTGTAGGACGAACTTTTTTAAAATTCTCGAGCTTACTTTATAAGCTTCTTTGTGTAACTTTTCAAATAAGCAAGTTGAAATTTCTATTTCATGTGGCTTATCAACTAATTTTTCCGAACATTTTTACCATTTCAACTAGTTTTTCAGCCATAAGCCATAAACTATCAGCTATAAAAGCTCGAAATTCACTTATAAGCTATCAACTAACTTATCAGCCAGCTAGTTTTACCAAACATAACCTTATATTCTGCTTTCCATACATCATTTTTGTTCGAAAATGGTAGTCTTGTCTTCTTAAACCCACGGATATATTGCTAACCTTTTACGAGACGTATTTTTTCAGGATGGTAGAATTGATTATGGAGAATTTGTTGCCATGATGACAAAAGGCAATGCTGGTGTTGGAAGGCGAACAATGAGAAACAGCTTAAATATAAGCATGAGGGATAGTCCCCGAGCTTTTTAGATTCTACTTCAACATTGTACCAGGTAAAGGCCATCTTCTTTGATATCTATCATCTTCTACTTTTGTGATCACTGCTAAAAGCTTAAAATTATTGTGTTGCATATAAGAACATAATGCATTGAAGGGTAACGACAGGTTTGTTGTTACATAAAAAATCTTAGAGCATGTTTGTTTATAAAAAATTCTGGTTTGTTGGGATTTGTTGATTTGGTTTTGTTAATTTTGAAAAATGTGGTATGGTTAGTTGTTAGTGGGTATATTAAAATAATGTTTAAAATAAAATAAAAAAGTAGGAGAGAGATAATTTGAAGTGGTGGTTAGTTAAAAGAATGTGAGTGGATGAATAGTGAATTGAGGTTGATGTGGTGTGTATGAATGATTGATTGATACTACTTAATTATATTGATAATGTTAATGATAGTGGGGTTGGGTTAAAGTTGAGGAAAAAAAGTGGTTGAGTTAAAATATAAGAAATTTTGTAGAAAATTTTCATATACAAACATGCCCTTAAATGGACAGCGAACATTTATTTAAATTACGTTTCAAGCTAATCATTAGGATTTATCAGAGTTTAATGCTCGAACATGTTCTATTGATTGTTCTCCTACAAATATTTTTCATGTTGCAAATCGTCCACCAAGAGAAATCTAATTTTGGAACAAATTTAAATTATTGTTCGGTCGCATATAATTTGTTGTTATTTGTAGCGGTATTATCGCTATGGAAAATATAACATTTTTTTTTTCTTATACATTTAAATACTCTATATGTATGATCTTGGTTGAATCTTTGGTTTTTTTCAAATTTTATGGCACAATTCTCTGGTCTGCACTGAAGATGGGACACTCGTTGCTGGTCTTTATCCATCAATGCAATTATCGAGCTTTTATGCCGAATGTGAGATGCTGACATGGCCGTGTATAGGAAAGTCTACTTTCTCGAGTACATGTATTTTAGCAAACGAAGATTGACATTCAAACGAGAGAACTATAACCGAGTCCTTGTAGTTCTATTGCCGGTATTAACTAGCGAGGTTGTAAACATCTTTGTGCTTATGTATTGCTGGAAATAAGAATGCTGTTTTTTTCTTTGAACTTGGAGAGCGATTAATTGCAGTTCATGATTCTTGTACTCCGTGTTNTTTTGGTACTCTGCTATGCAATACTGTGCTTTTGTGGTTATTTTTGTTCTCTAAATACTAAGTATTCAATTACACTTGTTTTTTTTCAAATTTCTGTATCAACTTCAGCGCCGACAAATTGTTCAATTGAGAGCACCGACAGATTATTCGAACCAAATTATAACTAGAAAGAACGCGAACTTGGGATAAATTGACAAATTAATGAAAATAATTAATCTTTAAAGAACAAGTAAAATGCAACACATTTGCTAGCGCAACTGGTAATATGTTATCCCCAAAATTCAACAAATTACACAAATCATCAATCAAACTACAAAAAAATAAAGGAAACAGTATCAATAATAAAGCGTATATAATACAAAAACATACACTAAGCAAACATATACTCTAATTTATACGAATAAGCACACACTGACACAAGCAAAATAATAATAATAATAATAAATTAATTAATTAATTAATTAATATGAAAAGAAAAAATGGGAATGGGTACACGGGTTGACGTCAGCGGGCAAGCGAGGCGGGCCCGCGGCTGCCTTGGAAGTTTTTGGCATAATCGCTGGAACTGTAGCGGAAGGTCTGGGGTAGGCCGACGCCGTCGGATCCCAGGAGCTTCCGGCGGAGCACGGCGGCGGCCTTGTACAGCACGTGGCGCCAACTGCCCCTGCTGTGGCTGCCGAGGGCGGCGGCCTCCTGCTCGTTCATCTCCAGATCCGCCGCGAAGGTCGGCTTCCGGGAGAGGATCCAGCCCCACCCCCGCTCCCACCACCCCCGGATCGAGCTGCCGGCGGCTGCCGACATCGACTTGGACCGCCGCAGCGCCGCCCAAGCGGAGGCGGACGAAGGCGGCTGGATCTTGAGGTTGAGCGACGCGGAGGAAAGGCGCCTCCGGATCCCGGCGCCGCCGCCGTCACCTGACTGGCCGTGGGAGACCGGGAGCGACTGCCTCCTGTCACCAAGCGCCTGGAAAACCGCGCTCATGATCGGACGATCTATCGATCTCCCTTCAGAAAATTACTGAGATCTGAAGTTAAACGGATTTTTTTTTTTTCTGATCGGGAAATGCGCCGGAGGAGAAAAATGGGGTGGAGAAGGTGGGGAATGTTATTGCTCACGAGTACACATTACAGCCTGTTTTATGCGGCCAATTTCGTGGTTGCAAAACCAGGCTGGCCGCTGGTGGGTCCCACCTTGTTCTTTGTTATGTGACAACTTTCCGGACTTGAATTTCCAATTTCATCTGACTTTGAAAGGAATATAATTTTTGAATTTTTCTCCTCAATCATGGGACAGCATTTGTATATTCCCTACTTTTTTTTTTTCTTTACAAATNAATCATACCCAAAATGCATAATGGAAGAAGAGCATGTTAGCATAACTAAGGGGCTGTGTTGGAGCAAAATGTATTATCTAATCTATGGATTTAAAAAATTCAGAAAAGGGAATTCTGTTAAGCAGACTTAACGACTAGGCACATGTAGTTTCAATACTTGTGCATATTCTCGAGTTCGGGTGTCACATTTTAATTTTTTTTAAAAACAATGTATATTTGTTCAGAAAGTATGATGAATCCACTTGTAAGGACCAATATTCAAATGTATATGCTCATGTTAAATAACATAGAATAAAGACATTTCACAGTATAATTATGCACTTTTGTTCAAAAAAATATAACAAGCCAAACCAGTAACAATCAATTTCCAAATGTATATGCTCATCAGTTAAATAATAGTGTTAAGTTATATAGAAATCGATTTGCATCGTTGATGCTCAATACGGTAACACAATAGCCCTAAATTGCATCAGCTAACAAATGCATGATCCTATTGCCATTTAAGGTATGGTTGATGAAGACTGAAAGTTAAATTGACTATTTTATTTCTGCACTGAAATAACATTCTACATAGAGTTAAAGAAGTCTCTTTGTCAGTTTTCCCAGGTTCATCTTGAAACAGAACTACAAAAGTATGGAACTTTTTCTCAATATGTAAGGGTATTTTTGTCCACCTGACTTACCTGTAACTCAAGTCATGTCCATAACTTGGACAGCTTTAGAAGACGAACCAAACCATACAGAAAAAGTTTTGAGGACTTAATGGCAGTTCTTAAAGCTAAAGGATTGATTTGTGAATGGTCTTTTTCGTTGNTTTTTGTTTTTTTTTATTCTTTTTCACTAGTAATAAATGGATATCCAATCGACATGAACGAGCATCAACAATTCGAGTTAGAACCAGAAAAAGTCGTGCAAATTACATAAGAAATAGATTATTCAGTTGACAAAAATAAGCATCAACAATCCCAGTTAGAACCAGAAAACTTCGTGTGCAAGAATCATTACTACCAGTCAGAACCAGAAAAACGCCGTCAAAGTATCCTATGAGACATTAAACAATATTCATTCAGTTACAAGCTTTTGCATTTCTTACAAAATAGGACCTGTATAATATAAACAAAATCGACCAAAAGAATAACTGATAGGAAAAAAAAATGGCAAGTATTCTTGTATTCTTCCTATAGTTCAGTAGAAGATGTTATCTCCCCTAACCCAACATTGGGTTCATTTACATTATCAGCCTTATTCTTTCCAAGAATATGAGTTGCTAACCTTACACATTAAACACTGCATATATTCTTACTAGACCTATTGTACTTCATATGACTCCGAACAAGCTGCCCAGCAGCAAGAGCCGACATGAGAGAGAGCTCACCTGCAAGAACCGAACCAGCAACAATGGTGGCCAATCGCCTAGAGTTCGACCCCGGAATTTCCTTACTAGCTCCCTTTACCCCAAGCAGATTCAGACATGCCGATTGCGAAGCCAGCTGGGTCCCACCTCCAACCGTACCAACCTGAACATATAAATATCCAAATCATTACACATGCCAACACTTAAAGAAAGTAAGAATTAAGTTGTGTTTGGTAAGCATATAAGCTAGCTTATAGTTTATTTGATTAGCTTATAAGCTTCTTGTATTGAAATAACCATAGTTTGGTAGGACGAGCTTATCTCATAAGCTTCGTTGAGTAACTTTTGAAATAAGCCTATTGAAAAAAAAGCTCGAGCTTGAGTAACTTTTGAAATAAGCCTATTGAAATTTTTATTTCAGCTAACTTATCACCTAGTTCTACCAAACAATTTTATCATATAAGCTAGTTTTTCAGCCATAACTCATAAGCTCGAAATTCACTTAAAAGCTATAAGCTAACTGACTTATAGCTAGATTTATCAAACATAATATTAATTTGTAATGGAACACACCAAAAACCAAGAAAGAACTAGTACTTATTATTACCTCAATAGAAGGCATTGTGACAGACACATGAAGATCCTTGCCACCATTAACGGCTTCCATCATTGTGATGCAGTGGGAGCTCTCGACATTCTGGGCCGGGTCTTGACCAGTGGCTATGTAAATTGCCGACACAATATTGCTAGCATGGGCATTGAAGCCACCCAAAGCTCCGGCCATGGCCGAACCAGTCAGATTCTTGAGCATGTTGAGCTCAACCAAGGCAGCTACACTTGTCTTTAACACCTTCTTCACGACCTCTTCCTTTATAACTGCCTCACACACAACCGATTTTCCCCGCCCCTCGATCCAATTCACGGCTGCAGGTTTCTTGTCCGAGCAGTAATTCCCTGTTCAGATTGAATCGGAAAGTAAAAAACATTGGCAAACTATATTATTGAAATCGGAAGTCGGAACAAAGAGAAATCGGATGGAGAAACTCACCGGAGATGCCGATAACGTCCATGTCGGGGAACTCGTTGTTGAGAAATTCGATCACGTTCTGCACGCCTTTCGAGACCATATTCATCCCCATGGCATCTCCAGTGCTGCAGGAGAATCTTATATACAGATTCTTTCCAGCCAAGGCGCATTTGATGCTCTGGAGTCTCCCGAACCTGCTGGAGCTGTTGAAAACGAGCGACAGGGTTTCGAAATTGAGAGGGTTCTCCAAGAAGAATTTGAGCTCGGCAGCTCGTTTGGCAGAGCCGAACCTTACAACTGGGGCCCTTGTCATCCCGTCTCCTAGAATACAGCTTGTGGCTCCACCGGAGGCATAGATGGCCTTGCAGCCACGATTAGTGCTGGCCACCAGGCAGCCTTCTGTGGTGGCCATGGGAACAGAGTATTCCCGGCCGTCCAGTAACAGAGGGCCCGCTATGCCAACTGGGATCTGAACGTAGCCCACAGGCATCTCACAGCACTGGCCAAGTATGGCCTCGTAGTCGAAACCCTCGAGCGGCAGCCCGGAGAGGGATTTTCCGGTGGTGCGCTGAAGGGCCTCACGGCGGATGGCTGCTGCACGGCGGCAGTCGCCCAGCTTTGTCTCGAGGGTGTACGAAGGGGTTATACCCTCCACCACTGACTTCACAATTGCCTCATCGTCCGACGAGATAGACTGATTATAGACGGACTTACAGGAAACGTCGGATTTGGGGGCGGCGGCTCGGGGGTCCTCCTTGAGCATCGAACCCTCGCAATCGCCGACTATTATCTCGTCGTCCTCATCGTCGAGGAGATCTTCGTGGGAAGCGCGGGGGATGAAGAGGGACCGGACGAAGCCGACGCCGAAGAACCCTAGGAGGTGGACGAATGAGGCCGCGAGGGTGAGGATGGCGGAGATCTCGGAGAGGGTGACAACATGGAGAGGGGTGGAGCTGCGGATCTTCTCGCGCCACCGGAGGAGGAGGTAGTACACGGCGGAGAAGAATAGGGTGAAGAAGACGGCGTTGGTGAGGGGGAGGGCGTCCGACGCCTTGGGCGGCGGCGATTGGGGCTCGGCGAGAGGGTCCACGGCGGCGCCTTTCGTCGGTCGGCGGAGGACTCCCATTTTTGTTTTCTTCGATTGAGAATAGACTGATCGGCCGGCGCGGAAGGAGGAGAAAAGGGGAAGGCTGAGTTTAGCTGTTTTTCTATTGGGAGCAATGTAGAAATTGCTTTTGCAGTGGAGATGCAATAAGCGCCGGGCAAGTGTAGCATATATATAGGCAACTAAATTAAAAAAATAATTGTTAGTTAATTATTAAGTCAAAACGAATTAACTAATGGTAGCCAAAAAATTTGTATGGTTCGTAAATCGTTAGTTGAGTTAGTATAAAATAGATATATGTATTTACAATAACAAATGTTATTTAAATGTCTCACATGTTATAATAAAAGTTTTCATTATATGAAAATAGTAAAAACTATTGTTAGAGAGATCTAACAAAAATGTATGCTTATAATATCAAACTAGTACAATACCCATGTATTACATGGGTGGGGACAGTGCCTTATTTCGAACCGTTCATAATTGATTCATAAAAGTGGGATCAGTACCCGGACAAGTCAAATCCAGGGCCGTCCCGGACCGCGCCCCTATAATAAATAATCAACATATTTATAGATAATCCAAACCTAATAACGAAGCATATAATTTTGTCACATAGGATCCCGAAGCATGCGAGCCTGCCACATAGACTCAGCGCGTTCTGAATTAATATATAAGGGGGAAGGGGGATATCACTGTATATGTTGTTTAAAATGTCACATTTTCATAAAAGCATATTTGTAAATATAGTAAAGCCTATTTTTAGACAGATCTAAAGATTAGACAAAATGTAAGACATTTCATAACAGCTGACAGATTTAACCGTTATAGTTTTTTAAGTTTAAACAAATATTCATACTTGCAAAAGTCGTATAAAAAATTATAATATTTACGGGTAGATTCAACTAACGATAGGCTATTTCATACCAATATTTGTTTTATGTCACAAAAACTTAACTGTTAGACTAATGTTATGCCGTCTCGCAAACAAAAAAAGTTTCTCTAATAATTAGTTCGACCTAATAGAAGTCATGACAAAAACAATTGGACAAATGACCATTATCAAGATTTATGAATATTTTCAAATCTAATTGTCACGCTGCAAAAAAAGGAAAAAAATAATATAAAAAAAATATAATACTTTACAATGCTTTTTATTTAAAAATTACGACACATCGACTTTGAACATCATTAATTTGACTCAAATATAAATTTTGTCTAAAATGTGTCAAAAACGTGCTCCTCTTTTGAAAATTTTGGTCCTTTGGTGCTAAAAAAAAAGTCGAAGGTTGCAATCAGGTTTAATATTAACTATTGTCCTTGGCCGAATTGACGCGTATTAGACCTTATTTTATTATTTATTCACAGCACAAATCCATTATCTATTGTTTACACTGTGCAAGTCCATTATTTGCAGCCTACACGCTTAACACATACGTTTTCCTATGTCATATGTATGCCTATGTTATAAAAAAAATGAAACTTGCATTGTGGAAGCTTTAATTATTTGTTTCTTGATATCAGAATATACACAATGTTTTGAGTTTAATTTTACTTACACGGTATATAAATGAAATTAAAATTTTGAATGACATTGATGAAATCAATTCAAAAAAGGGTTAAAATCATTCAAATCGTTTATGATCGAGGGATAGAAACAATATTGTTGATATAATAACCTCTATACGAAATGCAAATGACCTTAACATTTTAAATGCATAGATAAAATTAAGTAAAAAAAGAGTCAAAATTATTGAAACGGAAAAAGTGAGATTCTCTACTTATGTGTCAAAACAGGTTTAAAAATAGATTGATTTT